TGGATGAAGAAAATGATCGTTATGTAGTGGCGGGTCAGGGAGGGCAAGCTCTCTGAGAAAAAGGAAAAGAGACCAAACTTTATTGAATGTATAAAGATTTATGAGTACATCAACTGTTATGCACTGATTACGGGGGGATCAGTGCAAGCTGGACAAGAGGGTGGTGTTAAGTGCTTTCGCAAGACAAGGACAAGACAAGACAAGAAGAGGAATACAGTAAACCAGGAACAAGAAACAAGAACGAAATCGGAACAAGAATAGAAACAGGAAAAGAACCAAGACAAGGACAAGACAAGATGGAGAACAAGGTAGTATGAGAAAATACACACACAATTCTTGACTGAGGTTTATTTCATAAAAGAGATCGGGTATTTATACTAAAAGATGCGAAACAGAAGAGACAACGATAATAAAATAAATAAATGAAATGCAGAGCATAACATGAGGTAACACATAGATCGATAGAGGAGAACACAAGAGCAAGTATAGGGGTAAGCGCATGGACCAGCATGGCAACAGTGAAGGAGTGTGCTTGGACCAATAATGCACATGGTCATGCATTATCGCCAAGACAACGTGTGCGCGGGAATGGTCATGACATTACCCCCCTCTCTAGGTTTGAGCATCGCGAGAACGGCGGACAGAACGGGAAGGCCCAGCCTCTGAAGGGGAAGGTTTGTTTGGGTAGAGCTGATGAAAGTCACGAATGGCGTCACGGCAGTTCCACAAATTGTCGACTGGTTCCCACGTATTATCGCTAGGATCGTCGTAGCTTTTCCACTTGACCAGATACTCCACAGTGCCACGACGATTGCGTGAATCTAAGATCGCCTCGACTTCGTAATGTTCTTCACCTTCGACATTAATGGGCGGGAGAGATACACCCGTACGACCTGGAATATCGGGTAGAGCAGGGCGATCCTTTGGAGACAAGAGGCTAACGTGAAAGACTGGGTGAACCTTCATAGATATTGGTAACTGGAGCTTGTAAGCATGAGTTCCGATGCGTTCAACGACTTCGAATGGGCCGAGCTTCTGATGGTCCAACTTTCTGGATGGGCGGGTTGTTCTTATATGGCGACTGGACAGGTACACGAATTCGCCAACAGCAAAGACAGGAGTGGGTCGTCGGTTACGGTTGTAAAACGCTTCTTGTTGTCGTTGGGCAATGGCGAGTTCCTCTTTTAGTGAATCGTGCAAGACTTTCAGAGAGGAGCAGAGGTTTTCAGAACTGTCGGAGATACCAGTGAGTGTTGATGCATGAACAAAGGAGAGTCGGGGATGATATCCATAGTTTGCCTGGAAAGGGGATCGGCGAATACTAGACTGAACAGAGTTGTTGTAGCTGAATTCTGCAAGCGGAAGGAGGGACACCCAGTTATCCTGCTGGTAATTCAGGTAGGCTCGGAGATACTGTTCAAGAATTGCATTGACACGTTCTGTCTGGCCATCAGTCTGAGGGTGAAATGCGGTGGACATATTAGATTTAATATCTAACAGTTGCAATAGAGAACTCCAGAATCTTGATGTGAAGACGGAACCTCGGTCTGATACGATATCCTTGGGTAAGCCATGCAGTCGGAAAATATTAGTCAGAAAGAGGATCGCAAGGTCACTGGCAGTGATATTGTCTCGGCAGGGTATGAAGTGTGCCATTTTGGTAAGTCGGTCAACAACGACCCAGATGGCATTGTATCCAGAAGAGATGGGCAGACCAGTGATGAAATCCATTGAGATAGACGACCAGGGGGCGTCGGGAATTTGCAGAGGTTTCAGGAATCCATGAGGTTCTTGCCGTGACGGTTTGGAACGGGCGCAGGTGGGGCAATTGGCGATGTATCGGTTAATGAATCGACGCATGTTGGGCCAGTAATACTGACGCGAAAGTAATTCGTAGGTCTTTGATTGTCCCCAATGGCCGGCCAGAGGGGAATCGTGATGTGCGGCTAAGAGGTCCAGTTTAAGGGCGTCGTTCGCAGGGATACAGATGAGGTTATCGCAAAGGAGAAGCTGGGAGTCTTTGTCTATAGAGTATCGCTGGAGTCGTTTTCGTAAATGTCGTGGAGCACTGGACGGGGATTGAACAAACGACATGAGGCGCGTTAATCGAGGGTCTAGATCGGACAACTCCTTGATGCGTGCAAGTAATGTGGTATTTTGCGAGATGCTGAATGTGGCTGCAATTTCCAACTGATTCGCTCCAAAAAATTGTTGAACAGGTTGCTGGCTACCCCCCCCTTTTGGGGTCATGTCGGAGCGACGGGACAAAGCATCAGCTTTCGGGTTTTGCGAACCAGGACGATACGTGATGACGAAATTGAATTCACTCAAGAATAAGGACCAACGTGCTTGCCGGCGGTTGAGGCGTTTTGTGGACAGGAAGTACTCGAGATTTTTGTGATCGGTATAAACAGTGATTTGGTGCGGAGCCCCTTGAAGGTAATGTCGCCAGGCGGTAAAGCTGTCAATGATAGCCAGCATCTCTTTATCGTGGATATCGTAGTTGACTTCGGTGTTGGAGAGCTTGCGACTGAAAAAGGCTACTGGGTGCAACAATTCATCGGAGCCAATTTGGCTCAAGACGCCAGCGATGGCGTGATCAGATGCGTCGGTCTCTACGATAATGGGACGAGAAGGATCAAAATGCTGAAGCACTGGGGCTGTCGTGAACTGGCGTTTCAATGTCTGGAAAGCATCTTCGGTGGCGTCGGACCAGGTGAACGGGACATCTTTCTTCAATAGGCGAGTCAAGGGAAGAGCCAGGTGTGAATAATCTCGAATGAAGCGACGGTAAAAGTTGGCGAAACCTAGGAACACCTGAATATCTGAGACAGATTTGGGAGTGGGCCAATCCAAGATGCAAGCGACTTTTTCAGAATCCATTGACACACCGGCGACCCCGATTCGGAAACCCAAGAATTCCACTTCTGAGACGTCAAATTCACATTTTTCGGCCTTGGCGTATAATCCAGCGGTCCGTAATTTCTCAAGGACCAAGGCTACGTGTTTGTCGTGATCTTGTTGGTTCTCGCTGAAGATAAGGATGTCATCAAGGTAAACAACCACGAACTGGTCGAGATATTCGCGAAGTGTATCATTGATCAATGCTTGAAACGATGCAGGGGCGTTGGTGAGTCCAAAGGGCATGACTTGATATTCGAAGTGGCCATAGCGCGTACGAAAGGCGGTTTTCCATTCATCACCTTTGGCGATCCGTATACGATGGTAAGCATTACGAATATCGAGTTTCGTGAATATATGTGCGGTTGCCAGGCGGTCGATAAGTTCGTTAATCAATGGCAAGGGATAGCGATTCTTGATGGTGACCTTATTGAGACCACGATAGTCTACGCACAGTCGGAGCGATCCGTCCTTCTTCTTGACAAATAAAATGGGGGCACCAGCAGGACTAGAGGATCGTCGGATGAAACCAGAAGCAAGGTTGTCTTCAAGATATTTGGATAGGGCTGCTAATTCGTCCTGTGAAAGGGCATAGATTGGGCCAAATGGTGGTTGACTGCCTTCCATGAGAGGAATGTGGTGATCGGCATGGTGACGGTGTTCGGGTAAGGTGTTCGCTTGTTGTTCACTGAATACATCAATGAAAGAACGGTATTTTTCGGGAATCGAGGCGGGAGGCGAGGTGGGCGAAGCATTAGTCACACGGCTGATGGCTGCCTGGAGCGTGGGTATGGAGGTGTCTTTGATATGTAGCAGGATCGGTTGGTCACCTTCTTCTAAGACTTCCGCAAAACGTATGGCGTCAAGGATTTTTATATCAAATTTATTTTCTGCGATTGGCGAATCCATGGGTATCGGAATGGGATCATTGACTAGGGTTGGGTGACTCGGGAATCCGGTGATCGCAGGGGGCTGCTCAAGACAAAACTTGACACAATGAGGCGAGGTGAATAATACTTGACGTTGACTCCACTGGATGACAGGATCATGTTTTTTTAGCCAGGGGATACCGAGAATGACCGGATAATGTGCCAGGGTTACCACGTCCAATGAAAGTTCTTCCTTGTGATGATTCATGGACATGCCAACTTTTATTTCTTGGGTGACCAATCCAGAGGAAATGGCGCGTCCATCAACCGTCTGGACCATAACGGGACGTGCACGCTTGGACAGGGGCATGTTGTTGGAACGGGCAAATTCGGTATCAACAAAATTGGACATAGCACCTGAGTCGATCATGGCAAAGGTCTCTAAGGCCTTTCCATCAAAATGCAAGACAACAGGTACGATCAGATGTTCGGAGGATTCGGATGACTGAGGCACAGTGACAGGAGCAAGGGCGGGAGTAGACGTGGCAGCAAGAGAGGTTTGTGGAGCAAGAATTGGATGGAGAGATTTATGTTGAAAGTGGTTTTTATTGTTTGATCCCGAAGAAAGCTCTCTATCTAACTCCGGGATGGGCCTTTTCCCTTCTTGGGACAAGAATAAGCAATATGGCCTTCATCACCACAATACAAGCAAAGACCTAAACTACGGCGGCGTTGTTTTTCTTCGGCAGTCAGTGGGACAAATTTTCGAACTCGGGCCACATCGATATCCATTGGTTGGACATCGTCATTGGCAGGGGAAACAGGAGGCACAAAACGTGGACGCACAGGAGCAGGTCTGAGGGACGCACGGGACATGGATCGGCGGTGTTGATCGTCACGTTCACGCATACGATTATCAATTAAGATGATCTTTGTGGCGAACTCCCAGATGGTCGTGGGGAGGTCCAATGGGGCGATATGATCCTTTATACGATCGGATAAACCATCACGGTAGCGTCCTAACAGAGCGGCATCATTCCAACCGGTTTTAACGGCTAGGCGACGAAAAGTTGCAGTATATTCAGATGCAGAGGAAGACCCCTGGCGGAGGCGGATCAGGGCAGTTTCAGTAACCAATAATTCGTCCACGACACCAAAAGCAGCACGAAGTTCATCAAGAAACGCAGTGAAGGTCGACATACATGGATCAAGGTCGTCAGTACCTAATTTCTCGAGGTATGGCCGAGCCCAGGAGAAAGCAAAACCAGTCAGGAATGAACACAAGAAAATGATCTTGCTAATTTCGGTCGAGTAGCGGGCTGAATCATTGAATATGTTCATTTTGACATGGACAATGAAATCTTCGAGCTTGCTTGGAGTTCCATCAAACAAGGGCGGTTTGTTGATGCTGGCAGGGCTTGAGGTCACAGCAACAGGACTCAGGTTTTGGTCAGTACCCATGGCAGCAGGCACAACTGGAGAAATGAGGGGTGAATGAGGGGTGGTAGGAACGGAAGGAGAAGCAAGAGTGGGAGAATTTACAGACAATTGATCAAAAATGGCGGCAATATCAGCGACTGATGATTGCATAAAACAAAATCGGGGCAGGTACAGGAACAGAAAAAGCAGGTAACACAGATGAGTCAAGAATACTGTTATGCACTGATTACGGGGGGATCAGTGCAAGCTGGACAAGAGGGTGGTGTTAAGTGCTTTCGCAAGACAAGGACAAGACAAGACAAGAAGAGGAATACAGTAAACCAGGAACAAGAAACAAGAACGAAATCGGAACAAGAATAGAAACAGGAAAAGAACCAAGACAAGGACAAGACAAGATGGAGAACAAGGTAGTATGAGAAAATACACACACAATTCTTGACTGAGGTTTATTTCATAAAAGAGATCGGGTATTTATACTAAAAGATGCGAAACAGAAGAGACAACGATAATAAAATAAATAAATGAAATGCAGAGCATAACATGAGGTAACACATAGATCGATAGAGGAGAACACAAGAGCAAGTATAGGGGTAAGCGCATGGACCAGCATGGCAACAGTGAAGGAGTGTGCTTGGACCAATAATGCACATGGTCATGCATTATCGCCAAGACAACGTGTGCGCGGGAATGGTCATGACATCAACTAAATCTCATCAAAAAATTAACCTGAATGGAAGCTTATTGATAAAAGATTAAAGTTAAGAAAATCTCATCAGTGAGACCTTTGGATATACAAATTTGAGTGCAGAATTTTAAATATTGCAAATAGAATATCCTATTCCAAATATATCTTTAATTAGCTACTACTGTAAGTACAGTATATGAATCCAGTATTGTAAACTACCAACCAGAAACAAAATAGTACAGTATTGAATAAATGTCTCTTTATCTAGAAGGACAGTATCATATGTGATGTCTAGTACTTTATACAGTAGATGCTATTAAGACATACTACTAAATGTGTCCTCTTTCGTGCTGCTTCTTCTATGTAGGACTATATGCCATTCTCTAAGAAAAACAGCTACTACTCTCAGAATATATCATGAATGTTGACGATCTCACAACATCATAATACTATATTCATAGACAAGTACTGTAGCAACACTACGTTTATGCTACCCACATCAGATGACTCTACTAACTTCTTTTTTAATTCATGATACAATTAACAATTTAATAATACAGTAATATATTAGTTTAAATTTTTATATTTTATTTTAAAAAATATTAAAATTTTATGTTTTTAGATATAATATTTAATTCTTTTGACATTTTACAATATTATGATGATAGTGATAATTCCTCTAAGTATGAATTTAAGAATAATTGTTCGACTAAATATTAGGCAAGTATTGTATAGATAGAGTTTATATATTACTATATAAGAATTATCTCGGTTTAAGCAGATACAGTAAGAGACACTAGAGTAGTTACATAATATTTGTATATTTAAATTCCGATACCAGTTATTAGCTTTGAATATCAGATACTAAAGAGATCATATCTTTTGAAAATAAACAACAGTCTCACTGTACTCAATGTCTCTATCCATCTACAGTAGATACTGTATTAAAAGGGTTCATATTGTCGTAGAAAATTCAGTTTTTGCCTGTAACTTTTGAACTACACATGCTAGTCACAAACGGTCACAACCATTCAATAGACATTGTTTACTTCTATTAGTAAACCAAATTTGAAGTTCATAGCTTTATTACTGAATGAGTAAACTTAGATCAAAGTTAATTAGTACATGTGAACCCTTTTGACAGTTACACTAAATGATCAGATTTTCTGAGTTTCATATGATAATCTAATCTAAAAAAGAAATATAAGTATCATTATGAGTCATTTAAGTCACAAAAAGATATAAAAAGAGATTAATTTTTGTCTTTTGCCTTTATTATCTTTCTTTATTATCTCATTATGAAATCCATCTCTTCTGATCTCAAGAACTTCATTCTCACTCTGCAGTTCGCCAAAATAAAAGCTCACAGCTGTCTTCATCGTCATTGCTGGGTCCAGCCTCAATCAGCAAAGGTGCCTCCACATATGCTTGCAACAAGTCAAGCACCCGGCGTCTTTTCAGTTGGTACACATCACGCACGTCGTCACTTTTGTCTTCCTCAACATGATTGGGGCCCTTCCATTCCGCCCAAGCTGACTGAACTTTGCACTTCACATGGCAATGAACTCTGGCTCCCAGTTCTGTTCTGTCCAGTACATGTACTTTAATCGCAGATCCAATGCTGTTGCCGTCGCATACACAGGGCTTTGGTCTGTTTTGGCATAAAATTGCTGCAGCTTTTTCTGTGCTCTTCTTGCTGCTTCAGAGAGTTCAGGCGGATTTCTTTTATCGTGGAAATCCTCGATCTGATCAAGCAATACATTGTATGCAAAGACTACGATGTTGATCAAAGGCAAAACCATCAGAAAGTCATGTAAATTCAAAATTCAAGCTATATTTCATACCTTGATGAAGAAACCGCCTTTGTCAACCCCAAAAACATCAAAAAAAGGACAATAACTCATTGCAAATAGGTCACATCCTCATCTGAGAGTACAAATTCGGAAAGTTCAGAAAAATAACGGCATGTCTTATTGTATGCCTCTCATACTTCCAGCGCTCGCTCCACTATCACCATGGTGGCATTCCACTGAGTCTTCACATTAAGGTTTAATTGCTTGACCTCATGGTACAAACTCTTGCATGAATCAATATAGTACTTTTGGTACTTTGAGGTCAATCATTTACAAGTAAAATTAGTTCTCTGATAAAAGCCAATTTTCATTTTTTGTATTGCTCCACATACCTAATCATCTTGATCCCAGTTCACAATTTTGACACCACATTGTTGGATTGGCCATGCTCTTCCTCATTGTCAGCCAATGGTTCTGCAGGCAATCCATCTTTCAAGGTACTTTGGACGGCAAGATTCAAAATATGGCCCAAGCAAGATAAGTGATGGTGATCCTTGTTAAAAAAATATCTGCCATCCTGCATCGATCGTTCCTCCAGCACCTTTGCCATCTTGGCAATGTTCGAGCCATTGTCGCTGGTTATAGTGAACAAGAGATGCACCACCCCAAAATCTTCAAGAACGCGCAAGAAGATATCAGCCAGATCTTCACCAGTATGACGATCTTCGGGGTGTTCAAACCCAATCAGAAGCTCTCATTGCTGCCAGTTGTCGTCAATAAAATGGGCTGTAATTGCAAAGAAATCTTGCCCCCATTCTGATATTCAAAGATCGAGAGTAAATGAGAGACTTACTTGCTGTTGCAAGAGCTCCATTACCTCGATCTTCTTCTCTTCGTAAAGCACCGCAATGTCTCTCTTAGTGGTGTCGGTGCTGACTGGCTCAGTAATTATACTGTTGCGCACTGAAGAAGCAGTGGCAACCAGTTGACGGAACTCAGGCAATTCAACAAGCATAAACGGAGACTAGCTCTTCACCAAAAAGTGCGAAACAAGACTGCACCAGGTATCTCTCATTATTTCAGTTGCAGGTTGGCCTAAAGATATAACAGGAACGTTTCAGGTAAGCATACTAAATTGTCAAATGAAAAACACTCGAGAGAAACTTACTTTGAGCAACAAAATTGTCCAAAGGTCCACTGACAGCTGCCTTGGAGTGTCTGTCAGCATTACTTTCCATGATGCCGTGCTGGTTTTTTAAATGTTGGCGGATGTTGCTAGTTGAATAGTCTCTATTGATGTAAACTTTTCGGCAGCCCCTCACCTTATAAAAAAAAGGGTGAGTGACAGTTGTTGTCTGTAAGATCAAGTCAATTTACCTAGCAGACAATGTGCGGAATGCCTTCATGGTTTTCATGGCGAGCAAGACTATTGGTGAAGATCCAACTATGCTTGGTTCGTTGACTCTCCAAAACATCAACAGTAGTAAACTCTTCTTGAGAGCTGGTGAGCATGGAGACATTGGTTTTAAAAGAACTGGAAAAGCTGGACATGGTGATTGAATAGACAAGTGGTGAGATAGTTATTATATGTAAAAAATACAGTAATACCTTCCTTTCACCATTGTATTTTCGTCCATATACAGTGGGTGTCAAAAGGGTTCGCATCATTGTAGAAAATTCAGTTTTTTGCCTGTAACTTTTGAACTACGAATGCTAGTCACAAACGGTCACAACCATTCAATAGACATTGTTTACTTCTATTAGTAAGCCAAATTTGAAGTTCATAGCTTTGTTATTGGATGAGTAAACTCAGATCAAAGTTAATTAGTACATGCAAATCCTTTTGACAGTTACATTAAATGATCAGATTTTCTGAGTTTTCTTATGATAATCTAATCTAAAAAAGAAATATAAGTATCATTATAAGTCATTTAAGTCACAAAAAGATATAAAAAGAGATTAATTTTTGTCTTCTACCTTCATTATCTTTCTTTATTATCTCATTATGAAATCCATCTCTTCTGATCTCAAGAACTCCATTCTCACTCTGCTACAACAAGGTGTTTCGGTTAAGAAGACTGCTACTCAACTTGGTATAAGTCAGGGAACAGTTTCCAAGTATAGAAACAAGTATCTCCCTACTTTACCTAAGGTTGCTACTGGTAGAAAGCCATTAATCTCCAAGAAGACTAAATCTTTCATCAAAAGAAAGATGATTTCTGGTGAACTCAAGTCTGCTGTTGATGTGACTAAACATTTAAAAAGCTCTGGTGATGAAGTTTCTTACTCTACTGTGATCAGAACTTTGAAGATCATGGGTTTTGAAGCTAAAATCAAAATTAAAAAACCATTTTTATCAGCAAGACACAAGAAGGCTAGATTACAATGGGCCAAAGCTCATCAATATTGGACTATTGATGATTGGAAAAAGGTTGTCTGGTCTGATGAAACCAAGGTCAATGTCTGGGGGTCTGATGATAACAAGTACTGCTGGA